ATAAACAAGAGAGATCTCCCCCATACGACAACACAAAAGAAAATGTCCAGAAAAATAAGAAAAAAATTGTAAAGGCTCAGAATAAAGAAACAAAAATACACATTCGCACAAACAGTTATAATTATCAATAATATTATAGATTTTTTACAAAGTTTATCGTTAATTATAATAGTAACAAAGCTCTGCGTAGCTCCGATATACATAGCACACGCTAAGTAGCTCCGGTATGTTTCTAGGAACACATTATATTTGAAAGCGTCACTCTATTTATCATCAATGCAAATCGCTACATTTTTAACAGAAAATATAGATTATAATTATTTGTATATAGCATATAATTATATTCTGTATAGTTATATATAGTTATGTGTGTATATATATATATCTTGTTTCGGACTTAATTAGGTTCGCTTATGCTACCTCACATTTTCAGCTGATTTGATCTGCAGCAATGGCTTGCCGGCTATCCGAGACGTAATTCTACGTCATATATATATATATATAAAGCCTTCTTTGTATTTGTTTATCATATTTTTATATTTAATAATTACTGTTTATATGCCCAGTTTAATTTAATATAAATCTATTTTATGTAAAAATCTAGCATAGAAGTACTGTTAAATGATTTGTTAAATTCCTGAGCTCGAGAATTCAAGCAAAAATTTTTCTTGGTTAAGAAAATCCCAGACATATATATTATCATAAATTGTGATTTATAATATATATTATTATTAATAAAATAATGAATAATATAAAATATAATAGTATTATATAATTTTGTATAATGTATTGTATAGAATTATATTTACACTGCATTTTGCTTACGAAAAACAAACGTCTTAAGTGATGCAGCTGCTGTCATGAACTTGTTGTGTCAGGATTTAACTTATTCTCTCTTGCTACTAAACGTCATTTCTCCTTATTTCCGTTCTTCATTCCGTTAAAACAACATTTAGCGTGAGGTTGCTAATGTCATAAAATGAAATCAGTAAAAAAGATGATGTTTCTGTTACATAAGCTTTTAACAGTGAGTCTAATCGTGAAGTAGCCATCTTTGACCTTACATAAAATACTATTTTGAAGTTGTAGGAAGTAAAGGTGCAAGTGGACCCCAATCCCAAAGTGTTCTGTTGCAGTGCAAGTCGTGTCAATAAGAAATCACTATATAGTCTAAAGAAACACATTAGTTACAAATATTCCCATAAGCTCAACGATTTTGAATCTAGAGAGGAACAGGTCAAACAAACAGTCAGTTGAAAAAAGTTGGCACAACGAAACGCCCCATAAAAACTAGTCTGTGAACATTTAGAAGTATCTAACAGAACCAACCATCCACTACGTAAACCCAGCCACTCAACCATTCCCTCACATTCTGAAACCATAGGTCACAATATTTAATTTACCCACAGTATCTTCAGACCTTGACCTTTACATTAAAGAAAGTCTGCTCATAGCTAAAGAACGCCTGACCCTTAACGACTCACAAAGCTCTCTATATATACAAATATTGTTTCATTCGTCCATTTTCTGTTTTTCTTAACAACTAACTAAACTAATGATTATGTTATTATAATTTTAGAAATAATCATCTTTGTAACACAATTTTCAGACTTCGCTGAAGATCGAATAAGTTATTCAGAAACATTCGAACCTTGTAAATATAATGTTTTATGTTTTATCAACCGTCTTCATTATTGAACTTCGGTTTCCCCATCATGAATCTAATGTTCCTTAGTTTGCAAGAAACATCATATTTAACCAGAATGACTAGAACTACCCATGTGAATGGTCATTTCCATTCAAATATTGGTGAGGCGCATAACCTCAAGATATCACCTGAACAACCATTGAAGGATATTGGTGTCAATGACCTTGCACAATGTGCAATGCTGCAGGAATATCACCACTGGGCAGCACAAGTATTATTTAGTTTGAAAATAATAAAGGAGAAAAGGCAGCTAGAATGAAATCAACTTAATGATTTTCTGAAACACATGTTATGTGAACCCTGCGCAAGTACAGAACAAAGAATAAGTTCAGAATATAAATTATAATATTACAAGAAGATAGAAATGAATAATACATCCATGTACCACAATTTCCTGTCTTTCCTATTTCAGGGTTGTCCTCAAACATACAATTAGTTTTAACTTTAAAACTAATAATCTTTAATTCATGTCCTGGTTGAGGAGCGCATGAACTTTTTCACGCCATTAGAAATAATTACACAACATCGAAGTATAACGAATTTGTTGTTATGTATTTATTTTAATATGAACATTTTTTTAGATTAAGTTTATATTTGGAAACATACATGGCTTTACTGTTAGATAGGTATTGCGAAACTCCCGCCTATTTTCCAAAGTTATAGAAGATTCTCGAGAGTAAGAATCAACAATATATGTATATACTAAACGTTTAAAATGTAACTTGCATTGTTGAGTAAGACTGAAATTATTAGAACGCCTCCACACAGGTATAAATATAACCAACGCGATGCGCCAAAAAGAGAGAGTGTCTATTATTAGTTCGCTATGTATCGGTGTGCTATAAAACTTCGAAAGCTGTAACTGTGATTGTTATAACGCTCATCAATCGGAAAACTTAAGATATCTGACCAGAAAGATTTGTAAATTTCGAACTTTACAAATCATTTAACTCCAGTGGATTCTCATCGGACATTAGTATTTTTATGAAAACATTACCTAACTTCAACGGTGGAAAACAGCGTGTGTGGCCAAGGAGACAAAGCTAGCTAGCTTCCCAG